GGTGTGTGGGAAATTTTCTCTCATGACTCTTGTTTTAGAACATTACACATTGTTGATATTAATTTTCTACACTCCATTGCTGTAGGCAGAATATTAGCCGGTTTATCTCGTTTCTTTTTCCTTAAATTAATATTCTGAGTCATTTAAAGACCCATGGAGCAGCTTTAGAACTGATACTTCTCTCTAATGTAGTGAATAGCTTCTCATGAAGTAAAGTAAATCATTATCTTTTAATGAAAACCCACACTGGTTGAAAATTACACAAGTTCTGCTCGTACTTATTTAGTTCTGGGTAATCAGGTTTAGATATTTCATACTGTACTTTGGTCAATTCTGGGTTCATGTACATATTTATGAGATTTTAAGTGTGCTTATCAATCTGGAAATTTGCTTTATAAACATACCCAGTAACAAAGACAAAAATAAATATATTATTATTATTAAAAAAAAATATATATATATTTATTATTTATTAATTTATATCATTTTTATTATTATTATTGAATTATTGTTTATATATTAAATCATATATGAAATAATATTTCATATGAGACAAGCAATGTTTGGTTAATGATTGGTTATCTGTTGCTAAACAACTCACCATAACATTCTAGAATCCATTAGATTTGCACCATCAAGGGTTTCATAACTCAGGACGCTCACCCCTTATTTGAAATTACAAGTGTGAAACGTTGCTTAAAGAACCGTTAAAAGCATCATTAACACAAGGTTCAAATGCATTAACCCAGGGTTCAGTGTAGTGTGCAAAGCCCGTTTGATGTGTTGCTTTGACAGTTGTTACCACCGGTCACGTCTGAGGCCCTGTTTCCACAGACAGTCATTTAGTGCCGTCTCCAGTACACTGCGGCAGTGCAAGTATTCAAAAGTGCGCCAAAACCACCAGGGATATAGAGGAAACGGAATATTTGGAAATTCCAAAATAGATCTTCAAAACGGTTTGAAAATTCCAAAGAATTCCGAAAGCCAGACTCCCGTTACTCAGACTTTAAGAGGGTGTTTATCGACAATCTGCGGCTGGTAAAAAAAAAAAAACACTAACCGCACTTTGCTTAGCTAAAAGTGGAAGCAGAGAATAAACACGTTTTCTGCAAGAGACTTAATGTCAAATTAATGCATCTGGCAAACTGTTGCCAGCCGCAGTGTTCAACTGTTTTACTCTTCTTCTGAAGCCAACAACAAAGCTGACCCTAGTCTGCCATTTGTTTGTCCCCATTTTCCCGAGGGTTATTCAAGACTGGCTCTGAGCTATAAATCATACGGCAGAATATCGGGCCTAGTTAGCATTCGCATTTGAATGGGAGGAGACGAGACTGGAATGGTTTTGAGAGACAGACAGGAATCATAACAAAGGAAAATAGCTGTGGAGCTGACATGCCTGCTGAAATACAGCTGCACTTATTATTATGTTTTTACTTTCCGTCAGCCGCTTCTTATTGCAGTCACTTTGCGTACAATTTTGGTTTCCGTTAAATAAGTAGAGTGTATGTTTGAGGTGAAGACATTAAGAGGGGTCGTTTCTAGAAGCCAATGAATGTTTTTCTGCGTTTTCTGCAGCCTTGAAACAGCTGAGGAATGAATCACAACACCACAAACTTTGTTTTGAAGCAAAAACATCTGAATAAAAGACAAACCTACAGCAAAATTATTATAATTTGCCATGAAGCATTGCAGATGACAATAATACTACAATATACAACTGCTATCTGGCATTAATTTAAGTTATAAAAACAAAATATTACTTATTTTACGTTTATTGTGAAATGGGGAGTGACTCAATTGATGTCATTTTCAGTGTTTTTAGCATAATTTGTTTCCCCATCTACTTTTCTGAATGGTTCATCTCTTTCTTCTTAGTGGGAATTCGTCAAAGTAAACAATTTAAACTTTTCAAGAATGTATTTATGTATTTATATTTTGTTATATTTTATATTTTTTGTATTTACATTTTTGTAAATATATTGAATTATTTTACTAATTATTATTTTATTATATATATATATATATATATGTTTTTTTTTTTTTAAGACTATTATTTTATTAGAGTAGAATTGTATCTAAAGTAAAGTACATGTTTCTAAATGAATCCTATATATATAATCTTAATGGGAATTTGTCAAAAAACAAAAAAACAAATTCCCAAATAAATCTGGGTGTTATTTTTCCTTAACCCAGCCGTTGCGCTCTATATGCTCATTACTTATTTGATAGACATATATGAGTTATGGTCACACAGCCCTTTTTTCAGCTTAACATCTTTCATGCATGTTTTAAAATTGTCACAATGACATGATTTTGACTTGAAATCAGAGTAAATGCGTTCTATTATTAAATGTACTATATTAAGAATTTAACACATATCTGATGACTGCTGGCTTGATCGGTTTCATTTAGCTGTCAAAATCTCATCGGGAAGTCAAGCTTTGAAGGCGAGTCCACGCTAAAGCTAATTAATTCGGAATGTCACAGCCTTTACGGAGCGGGAACGCTTGAAAAGCGACAGCTATGTAATGAGTTCAAGTAGGACATTCTCAGTAAAAATAAAATTAAAAAGTCATGGCGTTTCAGTCATTTGGGGTTGAAGATTGTGCCATTTGAAGATTAAATTACTACATTTCACATGCATTTAGGCGAAACGACCGCCTGGGGAGGGAAGTATTTTTAATGTTTGTTTGAAGGGCTGCCCATCACTCGTTACATAGCAGGGCATCAAAGCTGGAAAGACATCATCAAAATCCCACTTCTGTTAATGTAGGCAGAGGCTCTTGGAGCCTGGCGTCTTCTTTAGCCAAATCATGCATCGTTGCAATTATTATTCACCCCTTAGAGCAGACACTGAGGAGTTTTTAACCTTTTCACTGATCTCCAATCAGTCTCAGATCCTGTTCCCCAGTCTCATCCCACCCTCTCCTGCGTGTCGGCTCTGGGGATTTAACTTTAACGATGAGGCCATATGCATTCCTGCAGCGTCTGCAGGTGACTGTGTAATCCTCTTAACTGACCTATCAAGGAGGTGCTATTTTGTTTTGTAGCCGTGACCCCATTCTTAATATGAAATTATGAAGATAAAGCCGGCTGTGGTGTGACTGTCAAAGTCGCAGTGGCGTGCTATCATGCTGTTGCTTAATTTGTGCAATTTGTGTTAATTTTGTTTGTTTTTGTTTGTTTTGCAATGAGCACATTTGCATCTTTTTGAGCTGTAAGCGAATATATATTAATATATTTTTTATATAATTTATGTTATTTAATGTATTTTTTATTTAAATTTTTTTATTATAAAATGTAAAATATTTTTACGTTTTATTAATATCAATTTTTAAGTAAATAAATAAATAAAATTTTACACAAGCCTTTTTTAGTTTTATAAATTTTAAGCCAAGTTGCATACCACCAGGGGGCACTCAGCATGCCACAATTTTAGAACAACTGCTGTAAATTATCCATTAGTTTAAGTAGTTTGTGTACATAAACACTCCCTACTGTTTATGAATTAATAATAGTCCCTTCTGTTAATTTGCAGACTGTAAGGAGTATTTATGTCCTGACAGTGTAAAATTGTTCAGCTCAGCATTTCTGTTTTTAGCTCAAGGAAGTTTTTTAGGTCTTGTTAGTATTGTGTTCCTAGCAGTCACATTGGACCAATATAAAAGTGTTTAAAAGTACAAGCAGGACCAGTCGTTTAAAAACAGAACTGCAGGTGTTGGTTTCTTTCATCAAAGGTTTTATGTCTGGCACGTTTCACTGCACACGTCTCAAAGGATTCATTTTCAAACAAGCTTCTGTCTGAAGCTTTGCTCGCTGATAAATGAAGAATCATGGGGTTAAGTATTGATAATTAGCCACTGAAGACTGGGGCTATTTTAGAGGAAATATCTGTGAATAGTGAAGAGCGCTAATGGGCCCTCAGTGTCAGGATACCAGCTTGGCACTGGATCTAATTGGATTTACCACATGCTGGTAATCCTGCCTTGGCACATGAGTATTGACACTGAGCAGATGGGCAACCCCTCACCCATTCTGATACCCCCCTTTGCCTCTTGCTTCCACACACGCAGAAGGACGCGCTCGTGGCCCGTGACTCAGTCAGCAGACCGAATGAGTTCCCTCAAGATGCCAAGCCACTCTATCAACAACGGTTCCACATCTCTCTAAAAAACACTTTTATCTCGCACTCTACTTTCCTCCAATGTGTTTTCATTGGCATCCTATTCCCAGAACTCATTTCGGGTCAGCCGGCATCTCTGACAATTACACAAATGGTCGCCATAGACTTCCCAGTTTTGCCCCAGTGACGCGTCTTGTTTTCCACTCATCCCAGCAGTTTTCCTTATCCCCAACACTTAGCTCTGATTTTCAAAGGAAAAGAAACCCGGTTAAAGCATACAACGATGTGGGAGCCAACTGATGTTGACCACAATTAAAGTTTCCCATTGCTGGTGCCCTCAAACCCTTTTTCCATCAGAAGTATTCATTAGCCTTTTTCCTCCCCTGATCCTCTACTTTCCCCCCAAGTACTGTACAGGAACTGGAGAGGCGGGACTGTAATGTTATGACGGTAATGATAATTTTGTGGAAAAGTGGTCAGGCAACATTAGGGGGACCCAAAATTTGCAAGAAGTCTCCCAGGACTGAGCAGATCTGGCTGTTTTGATTGCCATCGCCTCATATTGGCATATCTTTGGGGCACAGAACTTTGATTGAAGGCGAGTCGAGACTACACAAATCAGATCAGATCTCCTTTTTAATTAAAATATATTTCTACAAGTGTCAGTGGGCTTTCTCAGATCTTATTTCCTTTTTTTCCGGTTGGATGATTTGCTTTGGGTACGTTGTAGTTCATGGCTTTTTTAAATGTACACTTAATCTTTAGCTTCTTTAACAGATGAAGAGTGATGGAAGATATTGAAAAACCATTTTGGTTATTCTGTGAAGCATGATAAGCACAATTTGATTGAATGAAACTATTATTTTCTTCTTTACAGGAATCATTTACCAGATGAAAGGGGACTACGACACTGCTCTGAAGCTGCACAAGGCTCATCTATCCATTGCCCAAGAGCTAAATGACTATGCGGCCCAGGGCAGAGCATATGGAAACATGGGCAATGCTTACAATGCCCTCGGTGCCTTTGACCAGGCCGTGCGCTACCACAGACAAGAGCTGCAGATTTCCATGGAGGTTAACGATCGTGCCTCGCAGGCCTCGACGCATGGTAACCTGGCGGTGGCGTACCAGGCTCTGGGGGCGCATGATCGAGCCTTGCAACATTACCAGAATCATCTGAACATTGCTCGAGAGTTGAGGGACATCCAGAGTGAGGCTCGTGCCTTGGGCAACTTGGGTAATTTTCACTGCTCTCGGGGAGAGTTTCCCCAAGCCGTACCCTACTATGAACAGTACCTACGGCTTTCCCCGGAATTGCAGGACATGGAGAGCGAGGGTAAGGTCTGCCACAATTTGGGATATGCGCACTACTGTCTGGGAAACTTCCAGGAGGCAGTGAAGTACTACGAACAAGATCTGGCACTTGCTAAGGACCTCCACGACAAGTTAAGTCAAGCCAAAGCCTACTGTAATCTGGGCCTGGCCTTCAAGGCTCTTGGCGACTACAGCAAGGCGGAGGAGTGCCAGAAGTACCTTCTTTCCTTGGCGCAGTCACTGAACAACTCGCAGGCTCGGTTCCGCGCCTTGGGCAACCTGGGAGACATCTTCCTTTGTAAGAAGGATGTTCCCGGAGCCGTCAAGTTTTACGAGCAGCAGCTGTCCTTGGCGCACCAAGTCAAGGATCGCAAGATGGAGGCGAACGCCTACGCCGCGTTGGGCGCTGCCTACCGGATGCTACAGAAATACGACAAGGCCTTAGGGTACCACACCCAGGAACTTGAGGTGTACCAGGAGCAAGGTGACATTCAGGGAGAGTGCCAGGCTCATGGACACCTCGCCGCCGTCTACATGTCTCTTGGAAAGTACACCATGGCCTTTAAATGCTACGAGGAACAGCTTGAGCTCGGCCAGCGACTGAAGGACCCCAGCATTGAGGCCCAGGTTTACGGTAACATGGGCATTACGAAAATTAACATGGGAGTAATGGAGGAGGCCATTGGCTATTTTGAGCAACAGTTGGCAATGTTGCAGCAGCTCAGTGGCAATGACGCCGTGCTGGACCGTGGTCGTGCTTATGGGAACTTGGGAGACTGCTATGACTCGCTGGGAGATTTTGAAGAGGCAATTAAGTATTATGACCAGTATCTCTCCGTGGCACAGAGCCTCAACCATATGCAGGACCAGGAGAAGGCATACAGAGGTCTTGGTAATGGACACAGGTAAGAATTCATGTCCATTTTTGTGTTATTTATAATTTTTCACTAACTCAAAAATGTACTTGGACACACAAACGACACTTAGATAGAAAACATATCAAACCATGTTGCATCTGCAAACAAATTATTTTTTACTTGTTTTTTTCTTTCAAAATATCCTTAAAATAAGCAACTTTTTTCATAGTTTGAATATAAGTGTATTTTGTCTCACTGCACTGGCAGATTTTTTAACTTAAATATGCCAAAAATGTAAAAATATGCCAGTGCAGTAAGACAAAAACGACCTAATATCTTATGCAGTGTTGCTTCTTAATTAAATTATATCTTGTTTTAAGGATTTTCTAATATTTTAAAAGAAAACAAGTCAAAAAATTCTTAAGAACTCATTAAGATGTCTCTTTTTAATGTCCTGAACTACATTTGTGATAAATGTATCTCGGGGTGTATCTTGTATTTTGAGAGAATTTTTAAATATTTGAACTGGAAAATAGGACAGATACTTGTTTTTGCAGTATATAGACATGTACATGTTTTGATTTCGAACCTAACAAACTTCTTTTGGTGAAATGCCTCTTGATTTGATATTCTGTTATCTGATCAAATAGCATTCATACATTTTTAAGTGACATATAAGGATAGTTCACCCAAGAATGAAAATTGTTGTGATTTGCCTTAAAGTTGAGCACAGAAGAAGATGTTTTGAACAATGTTTCTGTTTTTTGTTGTTGTTGTTATTTTTTCATGCAATGGAAGCCATTGAGATTCAAAACAACACTGGACCCCATTGACTTTCATTTTTATTTAGATTGACATGAGGATGAGGTAAACTGACAATTGTAATTTTTGGGTGAACTATTCCTTCAAGTGTCTAAATAATTATTGACGCCACTGTAAAAAATGTACAAAAGTACTAGTCGTACTTGAGTGTAATATGCTCTTAGACAAGATTAGATTACTGTTTTTTTTAACGTAGTGTGAATGATTTATTAGCATTATGGAGCTGTGGAGTCTCGTGATGATGCAACAGGCTGCTTGTTATTCCAGTTGCTTCAGTCTGATAGAGGCACTAACTGTATCAGGCGAAATGAGGACTGACACCATGAGGTCAACAGGCGGACACTGAATGCTCTCACAACATGCAACAGATTGAAGATGGAATTGTTTTGTATCAGAGCATGACCCCACCTTCAACATGCATGCTGAAATGACAGTATGCAGGGCTGCACGCATGTATACAGAGATGCATACAGCATAAAAGCACTTTTTGTGCTTCTCACATTCAAATTTGGGAATCACTGTCACGTGAGTGTATCAGCAGGAGAATCTCTTCAAATGTTCACTTGTCACTGATTCACTCTATGTTAGTGCTTTTTTGTATCTCTAATTTATACTTTAGTGGCAAACAAGCAAACTTGGAGTTTTTTCTGTGAATCAGTTCAAACTGATTAGTGACTCAATTTTAAAACTGATTCAAAGATTTGCTTTGATCTCTCAAATTACGTTCATGTTAATCCATGTAACATGTATAAGCAGCAAAATGTATTTTTAGTACATATTAATATTTTTAAAAATGCCATATGGAGATTCTGTGAACATTTTGGAAAAATAACGCAAACAAATCTTTGAATCAGAGTTTTGAATCGATTCACTGATGTTGAGCCACTGCATTGCAAATATTGAATATATAATATTTTTAGCTGTTGATTACAATACTTTTGTCTTCAACAGCAGATTTATTGCTTTATGATTTTATTTCAAACCTAGCAAACTTCTTTTAGTGAAATACATCCTGGTTCGATATTCTGTTATCTAACGAAATGGCATTCATACAGTTTTTGACTTAAAGGGATAGTACACCCAAAAATGAATAGTGAATTCATTTTAAAACTCTTATTCAAAGATTTGTTTGCATGATCGCTCAAAATATGATAAACAGCAACATTTATTATTTACTTTATTACAACATTTTAATATAAAAATGCCATTCTGTGACCATTTTTTGAGAGATAATGCAAACAAATCTTTGAGTTTTGAATCGCTAATGTAATTGCTAATGTTGAGCAATGCAAATATACATAACTACTGAATATATAATGCTTTTATCTGTCGATCCCAACTTATGTATTTTTTTTATAATTTTGTCATAATAATTGGCTTGTTTCAAACGCCACCAAAAATCCTATTGCAAAGTTACATAATTCTTTTGGTCTTCAACAATCTTCTTTTATTGAAATACATCATTGTTTGATATTCTGTTATTAGATGTAATAGCATTCAAAAGATTTAAAGAGAAAATTCACCCAAGAATGAATAGTGACTCATTTTTACAACTCTTAATTCTAAAATTAATTTGCTTGAAAAATGCAAATTGTTCTATGGGCAGCTATGCACTCCATACATGTCTACCCAGCATCCTCAGTGTGATCTGCCACGCATCTATTTTAATTAACATCCAATCAGCCCTTTAAGCAGTCCAGCTCCCGTCACAAACCCTAGTGGATTCTGCTTACCTACGAGTATATGGGCATGGAAATATGATGAATGGTTTGCTGCAGGGGCCTGTCAAAGCTCGACGCTAAGGATTGTGGGAAGAGAACTCACACCGGGCCCGCAACGAGCCAAGCTCATCCAAACCCAAACCCCCGTCCTTCCCGCGGTCCAGCGGGGAAGGTAAATTACACTGTCAGTTGTGACAATGCGCTTGCACTCCCCTCAGCAGAGAGGAGCTTTACCTCAGATAGCGCAGAAGAATCCAACAAGAACCTCATTAAAGGCCCGCGTTAAAAGCTATTTGTTTCATTTATATTGAAATGAGGCAGGGCCTTTCAACAAGACTGATGTTGCTGTAATTTCAAGTGACAGGACAACAAGGGGTAATGATGCATCACTTTTAAGCTACCTAAGTAGTGAGCGAGTCCCCGGCCTATATGAATTAAGCCTGGTTTTGTTATTCCACAGAGAGCCGGTACCGAAGCCCGTTTCAAACCCGCTCTCTCGACGGATGGGAGCGTATGGACTGCATTTCTCTTTTTAAATGAAGTTGCATCAGCACTGTCCTGCCACCTGTGTGTTGCTGGAATAGCTCATATCGATCTAAAGCACGCCGTCCCTCGTGATTCCCTCACATTCAGTATTTTAGCAGCATTAAACTAGACTGCATTTTGAGATTCTGTTTCATGTGAGAAGGTTCATATTCAAAGGAATACATACATCTCCATATCGCTCTGTAAATTTGATATCAGCTTGTAAACATTCTGCATGGAATTTATTAGACTCAAATTGAAATTTACATTGCACTTATTTCTATTTGATTACACCACAGTCTGGAAGCAGACACACACTGCGAGCTAATAAAGCAATAAGCCGTAAGCCAGATTTAACCGTAGTAAAATCACTGAAATGTCATTACATGAAATGAAAAGTTCCAGCACTAAAATCGAGTTGAATTGTATATTAATGCACCAAGATATCTACAATACCTTTAGTGAACTATGTTAAACTATTTTACTTGGCAGAACAATTTTATTTTAATAACTATAATTTTATTGAAATTATTAGTAGTAGTAATTGTAGTAGTATAAAACTGAAATTCCAAATATATGCACACTTGTGACCACACATCAATTGAATAGTAATATATAATTATTATTATATATTTTAAATTATATATAATAGCCGATCAGATTTTTCAGTATTTTGGATTTACTCTTTTTTTTTACTATATGTGTAAAATTATTGTAAAATAAAAGAAATTGTAATTAGAATTAAATAATATTTTGTTCAAATTAAATATAATATATATATATAGAGAGAGAGAGCGAGAGTTCTTTTTTAGAAAAGAACTCATTTATTGAAAATTTTTAAAAAGTAATTTTATTGAAATTTTTAGTATTAATAATTATTGATTAGATATTGTCATCTTTTATCACATTGCTGTTTATGTTTTTTGTTTTTTTACAATTTACTGAAGTTGCAAATATATGCACACCTGTGACAAAACATCAATCAAATTTGAACTTGTATAATTATTAATTAATTAATTAATTTACAATGTGACTGTCATATTTTTTAGTATTTTGGATCTTCTCTTCTTTTACTGTGTGTGTAAAATGGTTAGAAAATAATTTGTAATTTTATTATTAGTAGTAGTAATTAATTTTGAGATATTATTATTACACACACTATTATACATAATATTTATTTATTTGTTTGTTTATTTATTCACAATGTCAAGTAACATTTCTTTGTATAGTGTTTTAAACAATATGCATTGTGGTCAATAGCAGCTTTGCAGAAAATCTTGATGTTGATGATTATGATATCTTAATATCTTCAATCCTTATATTCACATTTAGCAGATTAGAGCTGTGTGACAATATACTTCACATTTTGCGACACTATAAACAATCGCTATACATGAGTCCTACTGTATGTATGCAGATAAAGTTGGATATACTTACATATCCAGCTTCATATAAAGAGCTGTGTGATTATAAATTTACTGTACAGTGTGTCTCAACCAATCAGATTGTTGAGTTTTACCAGAGTATTTCCTCTTACTGTATATGTATAATGTTGGTTCGCTGTGTTTGTCAGGGCGATGGGGAGTCTTCAGCAGTCTCTGGTGTGTTTTGAGAAGCGGTTGGTGGTGGCGCATGAGCTGAGAGAGTGTGGAGGAAAAGCTCAGGCGTACGGAGAACTGGGCAGCTTGCACAGCCAGCTGGGTAACTATGAGCAGGCCATCTCCTGCCTGGAGCGGCAGCTCGCCATCGCCCGCGACACCCAAGATCGATTGCTGGAGGGCGACGCCAGCTGCGGCCTGGGCGCCGTGTACCAGCTGATGGGCGAACACGACACGGCCCTTGAGTTTCACCAGCTGGACCTCCAGATCGCGGAGGAGACGGGCAGCGGCAGCTGTCAGGGACGGGCCTACGGGAACCTTGGACTCACTTACGAGTCGCTGGGTAATTTTGAGCGTGCCGTGGTGTATCAGGAGCAGCACCTGAGCATCGCGGCGCAGACCAACGACCTGGTGGCCAAAACTCTGGCCTACAGCAGCCTGGGACGAACACACCACGCTCTGCAGAACTACTCGCAGTCCGTCATGTACCTGCAGGAAGGTAAGAGACATGATGTGGAAAATCACAGTTCCCTTTTAGTCGGTCACTACGAGTCACGTCGTGACGTCTCCGTCCCCTCCTTCAGGGAACGAGGGTTACATACGTAACCGAGACATTCTGTTGTACTCTATTCTATCAAACTGAGATCCATGTTATTATGCAGTTGCTAAGGTGTTTGGAGTTTTGGTATGCGGTTGCTAGGGTAGTTGTTGTTTACAGGCACAAGTCAAAAGAGTCTCTATGATATATAGTTGGGTTTCCATCCACATATTTTTATGCAAAAATTGTGATATTGCATAGAAAAAAAATGGATACAAGCACCAGGATGCAAATAAAATGTTCATCATGTGCATCAAACTATTTTAATTTGTTTTACTGTATACATTTTTTTAGAAAAGAACAATTTTAATTTTAATAACAATAAAAATTTTAATGAAAGTATTAGTAATAATGATTATTGATTAGGTATTGTCGTCTTATATCATATTGCTGTTGATTTTTTGTAAACATTTTAATGAAATTGCAAATATGTGTACACCTGTGACCACACATCAGTTGAATATTAATATATAGGCCTAACTAAATAATATATTTTAAATGATGTACAATAACAAATCAGATTTAGATCTGTCTATCTATCTATCTATCTATCTATCTATCTATCTATATATGAGAAAATAATGATTTTATATTAATAATTATTGATTAGATATTGTCATCTTATCATATTGCCACTGATGTGACACATGCATATATTATTATTATACATAATATTTATTTGTTTATTTATTTATTTACAGTGTCAAGTCAAATTTATTTGTATAACACTTTTCACTTTTCATATTTTTGTGGAAACCGTGATACATTTTTCCAGGATTCTTTGACGTATAGAAAGTTCAAAAGAACAGCATTTATTTGAAATATAAATATTTCACAACATTATAAATGTATTTACTGTCACTTTTGATCAATTTAATGCATCTTTGCCAAAAAAAAAAGTAAATTTCTTTAAAAAAATCTTACTGACCCCATATACTTTGGATAGAATAATGTTTTATTTGATGAGAATCAATTTAATAAATGACTGATTAATTAGTTCAGATGATTGGCTACCTCCCAGCAAATTTTTTTTTTTTTTTTTGCATAAATCAAATTCATAATGGGAACATAAGTAAAGTAAGGCTTTGAGATTTGTTTGCTTGTTTAATTGTCATCCTTTTTTTTTTTTTACCATGTAGATATATTTAAATGCACTTAGGTCTCATGAAAACATTTCTTTTGGTTTTGGGGTGAATATATGATTTCTTCACACTTATACCACTTTCAGATCTTTATTCAGTTGAGGGTGAAACGGCTAAAGTTGTTAGGAAGTTGTTGATTGAGGTACAGACGTCATGTTTAAGCTCTGAAGCTCATGTTTACACACAGTGAGACATCTGGTGCTTCGCTCCCACAAGAGGACATTGAGATTCAGCTCATTTGTTTGGCTTCTGGTGCCACTCTGAGCCGTATGTCGCTATAATAATCCTATTTGAGACATACTTTTTTTGGGTTATATTTATGCAGAAATATAGACAATTCTAAAGGGTTCACAAACCTTCAAGCAGCACTGTATTCATAGAGAGAGCGCTCACCCATACATAACCAAAGTAGAGCGTTTTGTTGTAGTTGAATTACTGGTGTCCCCTTTAAAAAAACCTGCCGGTCTTTCCGAAATGACTTTCTGTCAGCCGTCAGGAACAGAGCAGCTCACGGGCGGCCTTTCACTCAGATGATGCTCTAATCACCTTCATCCAGGACTTTTGACAATTACCTTACTGCTTCCCTGCTGTGAGAGAGTGGCAAGAGAATGGGAAAAGGCCAGATGCATATCCGCTACACCAAAGGCCACGGTGTCCCTCCGTCTGACAGCCAATTAACTGAGAGGGGCCTCTGCGCGAGCGGCGGACGGGAGGAAAGCTCTCGCTCTCACTTCAGTTTGGCGTTTGTGAGATTAGAGTTGTGTAGAGACGTAATAATGATTATTGATTAGGTATTGTCGTCTTATATCATATTGCTGTTGATTTTTTGTAAACATTTTAATGAAATTGCAAATATGTGTACACCTGTGACCACACATCAGTTGAATATTAATATATAGGCCTAACTAAATAATATATTTTAAATGATGTACAATAACAAATCAGATTTAGATCTGTCTATCTATCTATCTATCTATCTATCTATCTATCTATATATGAGAAAATAATGATTTTATATTAATAATTATTGATTAGATATTGTCATCTTATCATATTGCCACTGATGTGACACATGCATATATTATTATTATACATAATATTTATTTGTTTATTTATTTATTTACAGTGTCAAGTCAAATTTATTTGTATAACACTTTTCACTTTTCATATTTTTGTGGAAACCGTGATACATTTTTCCAGGATTCTTTGACGTATAGAAAGTTCAAAAGAACAGCATTTATTTGAAATATAAATATTTCACAACATTATAAATGTATTTACTGTCACTTTTGATCAATTTAATGCATCTTTGCCAAAAAAAAAAGTAAATTTCTTTAAAAAAATCTTACTGACCCCATATACTTTGGATAGAATAATGTTTTATTTGATGAGAATCAATTTAATAAATGACTGATTAATTAGTTCAGATGATTGGCTACCTCCCAGCAAATTTTTTATTTTTTTTTTGCATAAATCAAATTCATAATGGGAACATAAGTAAAGTAAGGCTTTGAGATTTGTTTGCTTGTTTAATTGTCATCCTTTTTTTTTTTTTACCATGTAGATATATTTAAATGCACTTAGGTCTCATGAAAACATTTCTTTTGGTTTTGGGGTGAATATATGATTTCTTCACACTTATACCACTTTCAGATCTTTATTCAGTTGAGGGTGAAACGGCTAAAGTTGTTAGGAAGTTGTTGATTGAGGTACAGACGTCATGTTTAAGCTCTGAAGCTCATGTTTACACACAGTGAGACATCTGGTGCTTCGCTCCCACAAGAGGACATTGAGATTCAGCTCATTTGTTTGGCTTCTGGTGCCACTCTGAGCCGTATGTCGCTATAATAATCCTATTTGAGACATACTTTTTTTGGGTTATATTTATGCAGAAATATAGACAATTCTAAAGGGTTCACAAACCTTCAAGCAGCACTGTATTCATAGAGAGAGCGCTCACCCATACATAACCAAAGTAGAGCGTTTTGTTGTAGTTGAATTACTGGTGTCCCCTTTAAAAAAACCTGCCGGTCTTTCCGAAATGACTTTCTGTCAGCCGTCAGGAACAGAGCAGCTCACGGGCGGCCTTTCACTCAGATGATGCTCTAATCACCTTCATCCAGGACTTTTGACAATTACCTTACTGCTTCCCTGCTGTGAGAGAGTGGCAAGAGAATGGGAAAAGGCCAGATGCATATCCGCTACACCAAAGGCCACGGTGTCCCTCCGTCTGACAGCCAATTAACTGAGAGTAGCTTCCTCATGAGCGGCGGACAGGCTCATGAGAAACTCTCGCTCTCACATCAGTTTGGCGTTTGTGAGATTAGAGTTGTGTAGAGACGGATACATATGGGACGGTGAGCGCTAGAATGTGTCCGGCTGAAGGTACTTGACGATTGTCCTTGAGAACGTTATCTGTTTATATATGCATACTGTATTTAAAAAAAAATGTTTAATTAATTTTTATTTATAGACATCGTTTACATGTTTATTTGTACCCACTGTATATATATATATATACATTTTATAATTTATGTATAAGATTTTATATTTGTATGTTTTGTATTTATTTTATTTATTTATACATATTTTGCGTTTATACTGATTTTTTTTACATTTTTGTATTTTTTATTTTACATTATGTAGAGAGAGAGACATTTTATTGTACATATCTATTTATTTATTTAATTTATATGTACATTTTTACTTATGTATACATTTTTTACATTTCTTTTTTCATTTTAGTTTTCTTTTTATTTATTCATACATTTTATTTGACCTGTTTATGCAGGTTTTTTTTATTTATGCAAATTTCTTATTTAAAGGGGTCATATATTGTTGTTAAAAAGAACATTATTATGTGTATTTGGTGTAATGAAATGTGTTTATGCGGTTTAAGGTTAAAAAAACACATTATTGTGGGGTAGATATGTGGGGGGCATGTTAGAACGAGCCGTTTTAGGTAGGTGTGGCTGACTCTTAACTTTTATAAAGAATATCTCTTTGGATTTGAGACTTTAGTCTTTGCAACTTTACAGATCTTCTTTATGCACCAAGAGCTTGTAACACTCCAAAGAGAAATAAAAAATTGAAATCGCATTATATGACCCCTTTAAGATTTGTATGTACTTCAAATTTCTTATTTTAGATTTCTGTTTACTTTATTTATGTATTTTAATCTATTTTTATTTAGTATTTGAAACAGTATATAGTATGCAACAATCATCTAATATATAAAAAGTTATTTCACATTTTTAATCCAGTTTGGTGTCAGTCAAATGCATCTTTTAGCAGTCCAATAAAATAAGCCAAGAAAGAGATGTTAGCTGATACGGCCGTCCATTTATCAGACTGTGGTATACAGTATTTCACATGAATTACATTTCAGAAAACGTACTTTTCCTTTTCCTTTTTCTGATAATATGCAACCAGAGCGCATTGAGTGCAACAGGGTATCCCACAATGCAATAGACATGACCTTTGTTTGTTTGATTTTCTGACTGCCAAACAGTATGCATGCTACATTCTATGTCCTGTCAGAAATATTAAGAGCATTGTTTTCAAAGATAAAATAACCGTTTACCAATTAGAGACATGACTTCAGATGTATGCACGTATAATTCAGACCAATGTACCGTAGTGCAGTAGCAGAAGAATTGTTTCACCGTACGTTTCTTTTGTTTGGAGATTGAACTTCACTGAGACGCAGGAATCAAAGTGGGATTGAAACGCTGATTAAAGTCTGTGTTGAATGAGAAAAATGATTTCTGAGGCTTTTCTTTAGATCAGTGCCTGATGAGACCTAAATACCAGCGCGTCCCGACAGCCATGTCAGAGATTGATGATGAAAAACATAAAAACAGAGAGATTGAAGAGAGAGGAGGAAGAAAAGACAAGGGAATGTTTCGGAGCCTGTTATTTTAGGATGATTAATTTCAGAGAGCTGCAAATATGAGTTTAAATACTAGACACACTAGAGCTGTTTTCAACCGATTTCAACCACTTCTGGCTTCAAGTGCTGAGAGTTTTGATTATGCTTTTATTAAAAGTATAGTTCAGCCAAAAAAATTCATGTTGTTCCAAACCCATATGGTTTTCTTTCTACCAGGGAAAAGAGAAGAAAAAAAGTATTAAATGAAAGAATATAATATATTTTAAAATGTAATTTATTCCCATTGAAACAATTGTTCTTTTTAATGTATTTGTAGAAACCGTGATTAATTTTTCAGGATCCTTTACTGAATAAAAAGCTCAAAAGAACAGCATTTATTTGAAATAGAATTTTTTTGTAACATTATAAATGTCTTTACTGTCACTTTTGAACAATTTAATGTGTCCTTGGTGAATAAAATGATTAGTTTCTTACAAAAAAAATGTCTAACAGTTGTTTAGTAAAGTAAAATTAAAATGTGTTTTCACAAAAAAAAAATCAGTGTAAAGAAACACATTTAAATTGTTATTCTCTGAAAATATCAAATGTCGTTTACAGTATATTCACATTTATTAAAGCTTATTTTATAACCAAACACAGTATGTTTGATTTATCAACTACTTTCATGGCATTTTTCTGATGCTTTTTGTCAAATCAGTGTTGTTGAAGTTAACTAAAACTAATACTAAAACTTTTAAATTGAATTAAATAAAAATATTATGTAATATTATGTTTTAAAAATAGAAATTATAAATGTTTCCCTGGCAACTTATTTAAATAAAATAAGTTGAAGTTGAAGTACTGAAATTCCTAAACAAAATTAAATTAAAGCTAGCTGAATATATAAAAAGCGTCAAAATAATAATAAATACTATAATAGTATATAAATAATACTAAAATAACACTCTAGTGCACATTGGGAAAAAATTATGTTTATTTTGAAATATATTTCACTCAGAAATTGCTAGTAAATTTCACAAATAAATTTGTGACCCTGGACCACAAAACCAGTCATAAGGGTCAATTTTTTTTTAATTGAAATTATATACATCATACATCATCTGAAAAGCTGAATAAATAATCTTTCCATTGATGCATGGTTTGTTATGATAGGACAATATTTGGCCGAGATACAACTATTTGAAAATCTGGAATCTGAGGGTGCAAAAAAATCAAAATATTGAGAAAATTGCCTTTAAAGTTGTCCAAATGAAGTTCTTAGTAATGCATATTACTAATCAAAAATTAAGTTTTGATATATTTACGGTAAGAAATTTACAAAATATCTTCATGTAACATGATCTTTACTTAATATCCTAATGATTTTTGGCATAAAAGAAAAATCAATAATTTTGACCCATACAATGTATTTTTGGCTATTGCTACAAATATGACCCAGCGACTTAAGACTGCTTTTGTGCTCCATCATCACATTTGACAAATTACTGTGCATGATGATTTAGTATTTTGGTCTTAGTCTGAAAGGATGTTACATTTTATATGCAAATATCTAAGAAGTTAATTTTGTCAACTATAATTGAGGCCTATATTGCCTCAAAGTGAACAAACATAGACTAAAAGCCATAAAACTCAGATTTTGATGTATTAAAACAAGTGCAGTGAATGAATAAGCTCATTTTCATGTGAAGTATTCATTGAAAACTCTTCCTGGAAAAGCATTTACCTGTAAATCTGTGTTTGTGTGTGTTTTGTGTCTCAGGTCTGCGTCTAGCAGAGCAGCTGGGCCGTCGGGAGGACGAGGCCAAGATCCGACACCGTCTGGGGCTCTCGCTGTGGGCCAGCGGCAATCTGGAGGAATCCCAGCACCAGGTACTGTCCGCTCACACACACACACACACACAGAGCCAATTTCCTGCAGTCTCCGCACAGATGCACAGGATGCTCATGAACACTCTTCTTGACAGAGCTCCACTGTCTCTGCTTCTTCTAATGATGTGCCTGTAGGCGGACACGCGTGTGTGTGTGTGTGTGTGTGTGTGTGTGTGTGTGTGTGTCGGATGTTTGCGGACTTGTCATCTCCGTCGGACTCTTCACTTGTGACTTCATCATTCTGTGAGGCAAACAAAGAAGCCGAATCTGATGTTCAGGGAGTCAAGCTGCACAAACACACACTCTCTGCATTTAGGCCCTAATTGATTCAGGCCTGTCAGCCCAAACGAGTCCCTCGTCATCAGCAAACACTCCAGCTCAGGGCTTGTTTGAGGAATCGCTGCTCCGCTCCGCACTGCTGAGGATTTGGATGTAGCTTTGAGAAGGGATATTATAATTAACTAAATCTACAACTAAAAGCAAAAATTTTAATGAAATCAACTGTAAAAAAAAAAATTTTTTTATTATATTTTTACTATTTTATTGTAATGTTTAAAATATTATTAATAAAATTAATTTTATAAATGTAAGTAGTATTAATAATATTAATTTCAATTGTACTAATTTTATTTCAAGTAGTTACCAAATTAATGTTTAATTTTAATTTAGTTTAAATTGATTTACTGTAATAACTGATATATTTATTAATATTTTTATTATAATGTTTAAAATAGTATTAATAAAATTACGTTTATTAATTTAAGTAGTATTAATAATATTAATTTCAGTTTTATTATTTTATTAATACTATTTTATTTCAACTAGTTAACAAATGAATATTTTAATTTAAATTGAAAATTACATTTAAATGTAACTAAAATGACTGATATTTTTTATATTATAATTATATTTTGTATTATTATTTTATTATAATATTTAAAATAGTATGAATTAATTATTTTAATTTAATTAGTATTAATAATATTAATTTCAGTTTTAATAATGCTATTTTTTCAACTAGTTACCAGATGAATCTTTCTCATTTTAATTTAGTTTAAATTGATGTACTAAAATAAAGAAAACTTGAATAAAAATGTTGAAAAAATTATATAGACATATTAAAAAACTAATAAAAATGACAAACACAACAAAATTAAATAAAACTATAACAGAAAGAGAAGATATAAAAAATAAAAACTTCTAAATATTAATAAAAACTCTAATATGAGTATCTAGTATCAATTATCAATTAACTGATTCAAAGGGTCACTCAAAGCTGCAGTGTGTGACTTCTGTGAAGCCAGCAGCACCAAAATGAACTGAAAAGATAATGATTGTTTCTCAAACAGTGTCGCCTTAAAAGCACGATTGATTGAGTTAGAAATGGACATGTTGAAGCGCTTCAACAAACTGAGCTTTGTTTTGACAGCACCACAATGTTTACACTCCACTTAAACTGCGATTTTACGGTCGAGTGATTCATGAATCATTGCTAAATGGTTCAACTGAATCGTTAGAGAAACAGAAATTAACCGAAAAGCGTCAGAAATACCCTAGAGAGTTTAGTTTAAATGTCTTGGAATATTGTATATTAAAAATAGTCATCTAGCATTTAATAATATTCTAGGGACGCATGATATATATCGGCTGGTTTTTATGTACACTATTGTTTAAAACCACTGGGGTCAGTAAGACTTAAAAAAAATATTCAGCAAGGATGCATTAAATTGATCAAAAGTGACATTAAATGCATTTATAATGTTTCAAAAGATTTCTATTTCAAATAAATGCCGTTCATTTGAACTTTCAATGCATCAAAGTATGCTTAAAAATAAAATGTATCACGGTTTCCACAAAAATATGAAGCAGAACAACTGTTTGTGGTACGGGTTGGTGAGGGACACACACGAGGACGAAGGAAATAAACAAAAGGTATTTTAATAGACAAATCCAGGAGACAAGCAAGTACACCAACATTACATAAACGAGAACGGACTTCTGTAACGGGTTGGTGAGGGACACACACACGAGGACGAAGGAAATAAACAAAGGTATTTTAATAAACAAATCCAGGAGACAGGCAAGTACACCAACATTACATAAACGAGAACGGACCCTGACTAAGGGAAAACTTGATAATAAGAAATGTTTCTTGAGCAGCAAAGCGGCATATTAGAATGATTTCTGAAGGATCATGTGACACTGAAGATGGAGTAATGATGCTGAAAATACAGCTGTGCATCACAGGAATAAAATGTTTTACAATATATTCACATAGAAAACAGCTATTTTAAATTGTAATAATATTTCACAATATTTCTGTATTTACAGTATTTTTGATCAAATAAATGCAGCCTTGGTGAGCATAAAAGACTTCTTTTAAAAACATAAAAAAATATTTTGAATGGTAGTATATATCAATCAGTGTTGGATGTTGATTTGTTCTAGTCTGTTTTAAAATTGTAATTATCTAGTACTAAATTAAAAGGACAGTGGTAGATTATTGCAAAGATTTAACTCTTTAAAAGTCCATAAATCTGTATTTAATGTCTCGTGGGTGAGTGTTGCTACATGTTAAACTAATTGATGTAAAATATATTAGAAAGCAATAAACGTTCTCATAAAGGTAAAAAAAAAAAAGGGCCAGCAGGAAAAAAATTTCTGTTTGCAAATATTGAGCAGTAATAAAAAGTGTATTTCTGATCTGAATTAGACATCACTGTTTGTTTTCCTGAAATATTTTAGGATTGCTTTGTAGACTAAACTTTTCAATCAATAACATAAAACCAGCCTGAGGTGTACTCAACCTCTGAGATTATTTTTTGAGCTCAGATTTTATTTGATTTCTTTGATGATTTCTGGAGGTCGTCTTTGTCTCAGATGGTGACAGTGATTGTAGTCATCTCTGTAATCGTCTGCTCGGATCACATTTCATCATGGCCGTCTGGGGAGGAAGGCTCTAGATTGTTCTTCTCCCTCTGCTCTATAAATTGCAGAGCGAGTCTCACGTCTCGGGTATGGCGACATGCGGGTCTCTGGTGCGGAGGATGTTGATCACATATGTGCCGTACGTCTACAGGGAGACGGAAGATTAGAGGATAATGTGTTTAGATCATCGTACAGCCAGTCTTGTCAATTAGGCAGCTGTGCCATTGGGGAGGGACGTGCTTTAGTTCAGTCTGAAAGAGACAGACTCGAGTCTCACGCGCCTCTGGCGGCAGCTGTCAATCAAACAGACACGCCACGTACTACATGATCATATCCAAGACGTTCAGATGGGTGCCGCTTTTGTTAAGATGTCCAGATGTTTGTGCACTACACAACACAATCTCACAAGGAAACATCACTTTTGCGAAATTTTTCCCTTGCACCACCAAAAAAATGTTTAGATATATTCTCTTGTAAAAAAAAAAGAAGTGAAAATAAGAGTGTTGTTTGCCAATGCAGATCTCACCACCACAATGTTTTAAATGGTTGCTAGGTGGTGTTTTTTTTAGTGTGTTGTAGATCTCTAGATATGGCTCAGGTCAGTGTTTCTGTTGTTTGGCCATTGTTAATTAACCCTCAGGCCATCCAAGGTATATATAGACTTGTTTCTTCATGGGAACAGATTTGGAGAAATGTAGCATTGCATCACTTGCTCACCAATGGATGCTGTGCAGTGAATGGGTGCCGTCAGAATGAGAGTCCAAACAACTGATAAAAACATCACAATAATCCACAAGTAATCCACACCACTCCAGTCCATCAGTTCATGTCTTGTGAAAAGCTGTGTGTTTGTAAGAAACATTCATCAAGACGTTTTTAACTTCAAACCATTGCTTCCGACTAAAATACGAGTCCATAATCCATAACGCATCCTTCAGTGAAAAAGTCCATCTACTGATGTCCTCTCACGTCTGCATATTTGTTTAGAGCTGTTTTAGACTGTTTTCGCTTGTAAACGGTGCTTGATCCGTGCATATTTCTCTCCTGATTCAGAAGAGACAAACTTTTCACTGGGGAAAGCAATATTATAGATAGATGTCTAGCTGGAAGCAACGGTTTGAAGTTAAAAACGTCTTAATGATGAATTTGTTTCTTACAAACGCATCTTTTGCTCTTCACAAGACATTAACTGATGGACTGGAGGGGTGTGGATTGCTTGTGGATTATTGTGATGTTTTTATCTGCTGTTTGGACTCTCATTCTGACGGCACCCATTCACTGCAGAGGATCCATTGGTGAGCAAGTGATGCAATGCTACATTTCTCTGGATCTGTACTGATGAAGAAACAAACTCATTTACATCTTCTATGACGTGAGGGTGAGTACATTGTCAGCAAATGTTCATTTTTGGTTGAACTATTCGTTTAATCTTCATATGACACACTTAAGCTTTAAGTATGCACACACTCTTGAAAATGTGTCGGTCGGGCATTTGTATGTGTGTTTCAGGCCGTAGAGTGGAGAAAATGAAAAGAAACCCGAGTCAGCTGATAGTACGGTGTATGTGTGTTTTGTGAGTGTAGTAATAGTAGCTTTTCATGGCCTTCCTCCCTGGTGACTCAGTTTGGTGTGTGTGATGTATAGACGGTTCTGGAGCGCTGCAGATTGCAGATGGAGTGTGTGTGTTTTGTGTGTGTGTGTGTGTGTGTGTGCTGATGCATTCCGCTCTTAATTGATTACAGGCTGGCCGTGCTGTATGCTGATGAAGGGCTCTCTGCAGCCGAACCCCTGAGAAACACTGCATTCCACACCACAAACACACACACACACACACACACACACACACACACACACACAAACACACACATATATCTCGAAAACACATAAATACTCAGACATGCAATATCAGGCAGCACTGGGGGCGCTAAACTGCAAGCGATTCTTCATTTGAAGCAGGACGGCTTGACAACTACATTCCAGCTGCCCATTTAAAACACATTAAACCATATTTTTGACTAGTTTAGCAGTAAAAATATCTAAATATTCTTTAAACAAGACACGTTTGCTTGGAGCAGATTGCATAAGATATTAATATTAATATTTCTAAATGTGTTTTCCTTGTTTTAAGTGTAATTAAATTTAACCTCACTAAATTTAGATAGATTTGTGCATAAATCAAGAAACAAATATTTGCCAGTGGGGTAAGAAAAGAAAAAACATTATATGTAGAAATATTTTATTAAAACAAGTCATTACTTTTATGCAATTTTAAGCTTGTACGTTTGCTTGTAAAGTTAATTTATGTTGCTTTAGGAATATTTACATATTTTTTATGGGAAAAAAAAATTGAAATGGCTTTGTCCAGTAAATCATTTATTTAATCAATGAATCATATATGTGACCCTGGACAACAAAACCAGTCATAAAGGTACATTTTTCGAAATTGATCATCTGAAAGCTGCATAAATAAGCTTTCCATTGATGTATGGTTTGTTAGGATCGGACAATATTTGGCCGAGATACAACTATTTGAAAATCTGGAATCTGAGGGTGCAAAAAAAATCAAAATACTGAGAAAATCATCTTTAAAGTTGTCCAAATGAAGTTCTTAGCAATGCATATTACTAATCAAAAATTAAGCTTTAATATATTTACAGTAGGAAATTTACAAAATATCTTCGTGGAACATGATCTTTACTTAATATCCTAATGATTTTTGGCATAAAAGAAAAATCTATAATTTTGACCCATACAATGTTTTTTGGCTATTGCTACAAATATACCCCAGCGACTTAAGACTGCTTTTGTGGTGCAGGGTTACATATTTGATCTGTAAGTTCTATATAGTGATTGCACTATATTCTATGTATAATCGTTTTCTTAAATTCATTTCCTATATTTGAAATGTGAATTTTGATAAGTGAGACGTTTATTTAATGGGTGAAACATTTATTTGATTAGTGAATCATATATTTGATCTGTAAATCATATGTGAATCGGTATTTACTGTACATGAACCATGCTAGTGAATCAACAGAGTAAAATGAATCAAACATCCCAAAACTACTTAAGAGAAAAGAGTGCATTTGATTATTGCATGTGCAGCACAAAGTGATGAAAAATACAGCATTTTGTAGCTCATGACTATTTGCTACTAGAAAAGCATTGAAAGCATTTCTGTTACACTACTGAAAAACTTAGTTAAGTTAGTAGCATAGCTACTTTCGGTTGTTCTCAAGACGGACGTCAATGCTACAAGCTGGTTTTCTCTCTGGCAGAGTCTATCAGACATGCGGTGGCAGCGTCACAGACAGACGTACGCTGACGCTGTCTTTCCATCCGCCGCTGTGAACGAGAGGATATCATTAGCCAGAAATCCCACATCACTCACACCACACACAAACTCACACTTTCGATTGCTAAACAAGAACCAGACCAGTCGGCATAAACGGTGCCTGTGATTCAGACTTCATTTATTTTCACTGCAAACACGACTGTGGCGTTGCGTCTAAGACGTTCACGTGCTTAAATTGGTTTTATGTTGCTCAAAGGCTCGTGTGACAAATAAGCATTTCATCTCGACTTGCTATGATTCGATTAAAGGCAACAAGAAAATAAGCTTAGAAAGAAACCCATGTGTTTTAGGTGTGGAAGTCTGCTGCCCTCTGCTGTTGGCATCTGAGCATTGCATCCACACTCACTGCTCTCGTTAGGCGTCATGTTTCTCTGTAGCGTGATAACACACATGGCAGTGTTTCTGTGTCAGGGCAGGTCAGTGCTTTATTATTAACACATGTGTGAGTAATGCACAAAATCTTGTTTTTTTTTGCCTCACAGCTGTACCGTGCGTCGGCTCTGTTCGAGACCATTCGTCATGAAGCGCAGCACAGCACCGACTACAAGCTCTCCCTGTTCGACCTGCAGACCTCCTCGTACCAGGCTCTCCAGAGGGTCCTTGTCAGCCTCGGTATAAATATTCTCCTTCTATTTCATCCTGCTTATATCATACATTATCCATTCAGAGCATAAAACAGTTTATCTGTGTTATGTGTGAGGATTAATGTACAGTCCTTAATGTAAAATAACAGTCCTTTTATCACTCTGCAGGGGTTTGTTTTGCGATAATGACCAGCTGACTGGACGTTAAACTGCTTGTTATGTGGCTAGACTGCAAAATGTGACTTCTTAATGATGATATCTTTATTTCAGACAAAAAAAAAACTCCTTTTTAATGAGTTTTTAATTAGTCTTTTTGGACTTGTTTACTAGTTAAAATCTAAAAATCCTTGAAACTAAGTCTATTTATTTATTAGTGTATTTTGTTTTTACTGCACTGGCTGATTTTTTCACTTGTTTTTAACTTGTAGAAAGGTAAAAAATATATTATGCAACATTGCTTCTGAAGCAAGTTGATGTTTTTCGAGGATTTTTAGATAAAAAATACTCATTAAAATAGGAGGTTTTTGCAGTATACTTGCCAATAAATCAATAAATGGACATGAATGGAATTTCCAATAAATGGAAAGTTTGTGGTCGGTGAGATTTTTTAATGTTTTTGAAAGCAGTCTCTTATGCTCACCAAGGCTGTATTTATTTGATCAAAAATACAGAAATATTGTGAAACATTTTTATAATTTAAATGAGCTGTTTTGTATTTGAATGTAATTTATTCCTGTAATTTATTCCTTTGAAATATAAATTCTTTATAACATTATTATGTCTTCATTGTCACGTTTGCTGAAAAAAGTATTAGTTTCTTACTGAAAAAGACTACACTTTTGAATGTAATGTATTAATCTGAGATGTTCCTTGTATAAATATGAAACAGTTGTGCTGCTTCATATTTCTCTGGAAACTGATAGAAAAATAGAAATAGAAAAATTCAAAAGAACAGCATTTCTTTGAAATATAAATCCTTTATAACATTATTATGTCTTCATTGTCACGTTTGCTGAAAAAAGTATTAGTTTCTTACTGAAAAAGACTACACTTTTGAATGTAATGTATTAATCTGAGATGTTCCTTGTATAAATATGGCTGTCAAAATCCAAAAAGCATCATAAAAACACAATAAAAGTAGCTAGTATACTATGCTAGTTTTCTGATGATGGTTTTATGTGATCACCATTATGCCATTATGATGACCTGTGGTAGAAAACATGAAATCGCTGCTTCCTGTGGCCTGCAGTTCATTGCAGATGCATGAAACGGTCAAAGATCTCTGGAAATTAAGTTAGACATACTTTGATGTATTCATGGGTTTATGAAGACCAGCGCTGACCTCTGACCTCCGCTCAGGTCACCATGATGAAGCTCTGGCCGTGGCGGAGCGTGGACGCACTCGGGCCTTTGCCGACCTGCTGGTGGAGAGACAGACGGGCCAGCAGGACTCTGACCCCTACACGCCCGTGACCGTGGAGCACATCCTGGACACTGTGAACGGGCAGCGGGCCCTGGTGCTCTACTTCTCTCTGGCGGCAGGATACCTGTACAGCTGGCTCCTGGCCCCCGGCTCCGGTAAGACCCTCCGGTTCAAAACTCACAAGCGTTGATTAATGAACTCTCAACATGCCCTTGCACAAGCTGAAATACCATGTAACGTTCTGCATAACTTTATACAGTCTTAAAGACGTATCACACATGAGGATGAAGGGCCCTATGAGCTCTGATTTCTTTCTCCCAGATTCATTTTTTTTCCTTTTTAATTTTTTAATACCCTAAATAAATTGTAAATAAATTAAAAAATGTAACAACAATTTATTCAAAATGTAACAAAAATTATATTTTTAGGGCCCTATGAAATCTTTTTTTTTTTTCCAAATTCATTTTTTTTTTTTCTGTTTAAAATTTTCTGGATTCTCTTTTTTTTTTTTTTTTTTTTTATTTTAT